CTAGCCTGATGGGATGTCCTTTGTAGGTAACTTGATGTTTTTCTCGTGCCAATCTTAGTATCTTGTCTTTGTCTGAGATTTTGGTCAACTTGGCTATAATGTGTCTTGGAGAAGATCTGGTACTTGAAACTTTTAACTTTCATTTTCTACAGACAGTTAAGTCAAATATTTAAGCTTTTGCTATATTTGACAAGATTTCCCCCAAAACAAATTCTAAATTAAGTTTTCTTGACCTCAAAATAACTTTTGGATGATTACACAGGGCCCTTGAAACATCTAAAAGACAAATGTTAAAAGTATCAGGCTTATTTAAATATATTATATAATATGTGAAACATTGTCAAATTGAGTGATTTTAATTTTCTTTACATTATATTTAAGTTATATGTATAGACAAATAATACATATATTTATAAGTATGTGTATATGTGTATATATATATATATATACATATATATATACACACACACAAACACACATATATATTCTGTATTTATGTATGTATTGTATTCCAAAATAATTTAACACTCCTATAAATCTATGATGTGGTATTTATCAGTCATGTTACAGGTTATGTTAAACTGGTGTTATGTCACAAATATAGCCAAATTTATCAACTGTAAGTTCTTTCTTTTTTTTTTTTTTGAGAGGTTGCTATAGGGCGCGTGTGCTTGCCAGACAGAGAGAGACATAGAGACAGAAAGCAAGAAATCACCCCCCAGGGGGGATGGTCACACCGCAATCCCTTCTCTTCCATTCTCCTCTCGGGATCTTGGGCATGCATGCACACGCACCCGACGTGAGTTCTAAGCTACCGGGTCCGGGACGCAAACCGCGGTCGACTATGTGGGAGTCCAGCAACATAGCCATTACGCCAACTGCTGGTTCCCTGTAAGTTCTTTTTTTAAAAATAATTATTTTATTTAACTTTTTCTTTCTTTCTTTCTTTCTTTCTTTCTTTCTTTCTTTTTTTTTTTTTGAGAGGTTTTTGCTACAGGGCACATGCGCTCGCCAGAAAGACAGAGAGAGACAGAGAGACAGAAAGCGAGAAATCACCCTCCAGGTGGGATGTCCATGCCACAATCCCTTCTTTTCCATTCTCCTCTTGGGATCTTGGACACACACGCACACACGCCTGGTGTGAGTTTAAGCCGCTGCATCTGGACTTGAACCGTGGTCAACTACATGGGAGTCCAGCAACATAGCCATTATGCTAACTACTGGTCCCTATTTAACTTTATTTATCTATTTTTTAAAAGTTTGATCAGAGAGGGACAGTGTGTGAGAGAGAGCGGGAAAGTGAGAAAGCAAGCCACAAGGTCTGGGACTCGAACTGTGGTCAGCCATGTGGGATTCCAGCTCCCTTAACCACCACAGCGATTGCTGGCCCCTTAATTGTAAATTCTTGTTAGAGCATTAACTAGGGTTAGTTCAAGTCTTATTGTCCATGGGTAATTGCTTTGTTTAACACTTTCCTTCTTTTTTTTGGCATGCATTTTATCCCAATGAGTTATGTGTTCATTTATTTAAGACATGCTCTTTATCTTGCTGGAAATTTATTTTCATAGTCTGAATTTTCTTGGGACTCATTTACTATGTCTTACATTTTTTTTTCTTTTCTTTTCTTTCTTTTTTTTTTTTAAAGATTTTTGCTATAGACAGTGAGCTGGCAGGAGACATACAGTGAGAAAAAAAGTGAGACATTACCCCCCAAAGAGGAGGGTCACACAGCGGTTGTTTATCTTCCATTATCCTCTTTGGATTTTAGGCAGCCACACACATACACCCAGTGTGATTTTCAAACCACAAGATCTGTGGTTTGAAACACGGTTGGCCAAGTAGGACTTCAGCACAATAAACAACAAACCACTTGTTGGGCCATTTATACATGTATATCTGATTCATTTCCAATAGTAGGCAGTTCATGTGAAGCAGGACCTGTTCTCCCCCCAAAAACATAGTGATAGCTTCCCACTCGGAAAGGCAAAATAATATATATGAGAAACACCAACGCCTTCAGATAGATGTGGAACTGTGGGACTTGCCAGGGACAGACTTCTATGAATAAGCA